ATTTGTGACTTTCAGAAAAGAAAATCAAAACCATTTCTCCCCCTCTAGTTCAGCCTAATTGTGTATTGTGGATTATAACACATCAGGATCTTTTTTTTTTTTTTTTTTGTAGCCTGTAGTGGAGAAGGAGAGGTATTACCTCTTTGGAATTCTCTGTGGACTTTCTTTATACAATGTAAAAGTTGCCTATATTCCATTCCCACTGGCTTTGTTTAAAAAACTTTTGGGCCAAAATCCATCACTGGAAGATTTAGAAGAACTCAGTCCTGTATTGAGAAGGTAAGTAGATAATCCTTAGTGTTATTCAGGAATAACAGAGAGTATTCGATATGCTACCGAGAGTATTCGATATGCCAGACACAGTAACAACAAAGTCTCCAATGGAGACGTTACTGGGCCCGCTCGAGCAAATCGATAATCAACGGGAGGGCCTTTACTTTACTTATTCAGGAATAAATACTATACGTAATCTCTCTCTCTCTCTCTCTCTCTCTCTCTCTCTCTCTCTCTCTCTCTCTCTCTCTCTTTCACACACACACACACACGCTATGTCAATTTTGATGTTTAAGCATGTCATCAGCTTTATTTTTTTCAGGAGTGAAAAATACTGCTTGTAAGTTAGAAGGCAGGCCATGTCCTACAAAGAAAACGTTAGCAGCATGTATGAGAGGCGTAGAATGAGTATCAGCATCCCATAGGTCTGCCCACAGTATCGCTGAGAAGAATCTGATTGTAGGCTTGGGGCGATAGGACCACGGGTAGGGTGCTTGCTTTGCTTGTGGTTGGACTCAATCCTTGACGTCCTGTATGGTCCCCTGAGCCCTGCCAGGTGTGATCCCCGACTGCAGCAGGGTCAGGAGTAACCCCTGAGCACCACCAGGGGAGGCCCCAAACCAACAACAGCTACAACAACAACATCAAGAACGTGGATCATAAAAAAATGAACGCAAATGAGATTTTTTTTTTTTGCTTACCGATTGTGAACAGTGAAAATGTCTTCCTGGAGTTGGAGAGATCAGACAGTGTCGGGAGGCACTTACCTACACACAGTCAACCCGGGTTCGATCCCCGGCATCCCATAGCGTCCCCTGAGCATCACCAGGAGTGATTTCTGAGCACAGAGCCAGGGGCAATCCCTGAGCATCGTGGGGTGTGACCCAAAACCCAAAAAGGGAATAAAGGAGGCAGAGCAGTAGCACAGCAGGCGGTACTTAGCATGTGGCCGTCAGCGGGGCTTGAGTTTCAGCATCCCATGCAGACGGTCCTCCCATACCTCACCCTGCACCGACACCACAGAGAGTGATCCCTGAGCAGAGAGAGGAGTAAGTTCTGAGCACTGCTGGGTACGCGGGTAGGGTGTTTGCCTTGCTCAAGACCGACCCGGGTTCGATTTGTCCGTCCCTCTCGGAGAGCCCGGCAAGCTGCCGAGAGTATCCCGCCCGCACGGCAGAGCCTGGCAAGCTCCCCGTGACGTATTCGATATGCCAGACACAGTAACAACCAAGTCTCACAATTTGTTGTGGAGATGTTACTGGTGCCCGCTCGAGCAAATCAATGAACAACGGGAGGACAGTGCTACAGTGCCAATGTAAGCATGAGGCTCTGGGTCCCCCCCCCCCAAACAAAACCAAAACACCAACCAAGGAACCCTTAGGGCAGGAGTGTAGTCCAGTGCTCCATCTGCGTGTGGAGCACATCTTCATGTGTGAGTTCCTGAGCTCCAGTCTCTCTCCACAGGACCTTTTCTAGGAAATCTATTTTGATAGTCTAGGCTGAAGGGAGGGTCTCTCTTCTTCTGACCTCCCAGGGGACGCTGAGATGGACACAGTTCCTGCTGTGTCCTGCCGTGCAAGGGTTGGGCGTTCAGTCTGGGTTGGGCTGGTCGTGGGGGGCTGTCCTCCTTCCTCAGGGTCCCCAGCAGCTCAAGGCTGACTCCCCCTAATGTTCTGCCACTAGAGAGCTCCTGGGTGGGGCAAATGTCTTCTGGGGAAGCACACTCACTCCTGGGGGAGAATTCCTGGCCTGGGGGAGGGGGCCCCTTTCTCGGGAGTGACCACTAGACTGCCAGGTTAGCCCTGCCAAGGAGTGAGGGAATGAAGGAGAGGAAATGCACCTGGTGTTTCGTTTATTTTCAGATCATTCAGAAGAGTTTTCCATTGAACATTCATTCATTCGTGACTACTTTTATCAAGAAATATAACTTATAAAGAATTTTTAAAAAGTAATTTATTTTTTTCGTTTTTGGGGCCACACCCGGTGATGCTCAGGGGTTCCTCCTGGCTCTACCCTCAGGAATCTCTCCTGACAGGGCTCAGGGGGACCCATGGAGATACCAGGGATCAAGCTTGTGTTGGGAGCTTGCAAGGCAAGTGCCCTACTCATGGTGCTATTGTTCTGGTAAAAAATATATAATTTACATCAAACATTTTCATAGGAATTTGCAAGAAGTTCTAAATTGTGAAGGTGACGACATTGAAAATCTCCACTTAGACTTTAATGTGAGTATGAAAGAAAACCAGATTGCAGATAATCTTGTTTTAAAAATAATTTTAGATAGTATAGTACAGCGTTAGGGCGTTTGCCTTGGGTGCAGCCAGCTTGGCCGAGCCGGGTTCGATTTCTTCACCCCTTTTGGAAAGCCTGATAAGCTACTGAGAGTATCTCACCCGCACGGCAAAGCCTGGCAATCTACCCATGACGTATTCGATATGCCAATCACAGTAACAATAAGTCTCAAAATGGAGATGTTACTGGGCCCACTTGAGCAAATTAATGAACAATGGGAGGACAGTATCTTAAACATGAGACTTCTTTTATAAACAATTAAAATTAATTGAGCAATTTAATTAAACTGTGATTTGCCACGTTATTGGTAGCTGAGGTTTTGTTTTTGGTTTTTTTTTTTTTTTTTTTTTGCTTTTTTGGTCACACCCGGCGATGCACAGGGGTTCCTCCTGGCTCATGCACTCAGGAACTACTCCTGGCGGTGCTTAGGGGACAATACGGGTGACAAGTGACATATGTATTATAAAAGGTCAGGCTACATAAATAATCACCGAACTTTTAGTTATCTAAAATTCTACAGAGAAAACTGTAGTAGCAACAGTGGTGTTATGGTTGATTATTTATACATTCAAAATTTGGTAACTGAACTTATTTTGGTTATAGGTACACTGGGACCAAAATGATGTGGATTTAATTCCGAATGGGTCAACTATACTTGTGGACCAGACCACGAAGTGAGTTGATAGTTGTTGTTCTGTTCCTGGGACACTCCCTGTAGCCCAGCGGCTGGTCCTGGCTCTGTGCCCAGGAGTGAGCCCTGACAGTGCTCAGGGCACCCTCTACGTACCGATGTGGATTCACACCAGGTTTGGCAGGGTGCAAGGCAAACGCCCGAAACCGCTCTACTCTCTAGGCTGACCACGCAGGGAGTGTGGGGAGTTGGAACATCGGCTTTGCCTGCACATGACATGCCACTCTAGCTTAGAAGTTGTTGTAGATGATGATTTTAGAGACCTGGGCCCTATGCAAACAGGATGAGAACGCTGTTCGGGTCTCCCAAAGAGGAATCGAAAGAGCTATGCTCGGAATATCACGTTTCACTCAAGTGAGAGAAAGAATCCGGAGTTCCAACCTCTGTCGACGCTCAAGAATCAGGGACGCAGTCTCGTTTGCCAAGGCGTCGAAAATCAGATGGGCCGGACATGTAATGAGATTTGAAGACAACCACTGAACCAGAACCGTTACCGACAGGATTCCACAGGACGTCAAAAGATCACGTGGACACCCACCTACAAGATGGTCAGACTTCTTTGTCAAGATCCTGAACGATCGGTTTGAGGCTCTTCGTGTTCCTGCAGTGAACAGACGCCATTCGGCTACATTAGCACGTGACAGGGACAGATGGAAACGTTACTGGCACCCGCTCGAGCAAATCGATGGTAACAGGAAGTCAAGTGATCAAGTGATCAAGTGATTTTAGCTTCTCGTCTTTTAGAAAAATGAAACAGTGACGGAGTGAGAGAAGGGGAGGAAGGAGTCCAGGTGTTTGCTGGGACTGCAGAGGTAGCTTGAGGGTGTGGACACACGCTTTGTAAGTGGGGGCCTCAGAGTCACGTGGCTCTCCAGCACCACCGGGAGTGACGCCTGAACAAGGAGCCAGGAGTTGGCCCTGAGCACCACCCGGTGTGGCCACCCCCCACCCCAATAGCTCCTTTGCAGAACTTTTCACTAGCTCTTAGTATGATAATTATTTTTGAGTCTCTATTCTGTACCAGATCCTATTCTTTTTTTTCTTTAAATGTTTATTTTGAATGGAGACAAAAACGACACAACTGTTGACACAACTCTAGAGCTGCAATTAGATGACAAAGTTCTCATATTAAAATCAATAAATCTAAAAACCATTTTAATGTGAAAATTATCATACCTGATCAAGGAGTTTGTCGAAGTCCTTGCAGCCGGCCCAGGTGCCTCAGCACCCAATATTACACTGAGAGAGAGTCGGGAGTCGCCACGAAGCTCTGGGTACCCCTGCTTGTGACTAAAAACTACAAAACAAGTACATAAAGATCCATTCCAACTCCAGCTAGGAAACAGGACCAAAGCGAAGTCTGGCCTCGAGGAGTGTGTTAGAGTTCCTTTTCCTAACTGCCCGAATATTTCAATATCTCTGCACCTTTCTGGGCTGTCGATACTGCATAAATGACTTATTTATTTATTTTGCAACAAAAATGATACGAAGGACAAAGTGCAGAATATTTTCACCACTGCTGCTAACTGAAAAACTTTACTTCCTCCAGGGACAGATACGTTTCTGAGTACGTCAATTACATTTTCAACACGTCCGTGGAGGTGGTTTATAAGGAGTTTCAGAGAGGATTTTACAGAGTCTGTGACGAGAGCTTAATTAGGCGACTGTTCAAGCCAGAAGAACTAAGGCAAGCGATGATTGGAAATACTGATTATGATTGGAAACAGTTTGAAAAGGTAGGTGCTAACGAAAATGTCCCCAGTTTCCCCAGGCAGGGGGCCATGCGTCTCTTCTAAAAACTATTTCTCTCTCTTTTTGTCAAGAATTCAGTATATTCCGAAAATTCAGGCTACTCCCCATCACATCCCACTATCAAAATGTTTTGGGAGGTGTTCCACAAACTGTCTTTGGAGGAAAAGAAGAAATTTCTTTGTAAGTATTCCTGGCAGACGGGTCTCTGATTTTGCGAACGTGTTTGTCAAAGACCAGCGTCCCAGTTGTGATGAAGTCACTAACGATGGTGTTAATGACGGCCACGTGTTGGGGGCCCAGCAAAGGGTGTTTGTCTGTTTTATTTTGTAGGGGCACTTCTGGGGGTGCCCAGGCAGTGGCTCTGTGCTCAGGGTCCCTCCTCGTGAGGTTCAGGGGACCAAATGTGGCACCTGAGCCGGAACCTGGGCCAGCTGTGCACAAGGCGAGCGCCTGCCCTGCTGCACTGTCGCGAGGGCCTCACACAGGAGAGTTCAGAACCTGCGTTTCCCACCAGGCACAGCCTGGTTCTTTCTCCCACACAGAGAGCCAGCTTCCCTCTGCTCACTCCCTTTCCCACCCAGTTCCCCCTGCCCGCCCCCTTTCCCACCCAGCTCCCCCTGCCCGCCCCCTTTCCCACCCAGTTCCCCCTGCCCGTTCCCTTTCCCACCCAGCTCCCCCTGCCCGCCCCCTTTCCCACCCAGTTCCCCCTGCCCGTTCCCTTTCCCACCCAGCTCCCCCTGCCCGCCCCCTTTCCCACCCAGCTCCCCCTGCCCGTTCCCTTTCCCACCCAGTTCCCCCTGCCCGCCCCCTTTCCCACCCAGTTCCCCCTGCCCGCCCCCTTTCCCACCCAGTTCCCCCTGCCCGCCCCCTTTCCCACCCAGTTCCCCCTGCCCGCCCCCTTTCCCACCCAGTTCCCCCTGCCCGCCCCCTTTCCCACCCAGTTCCCCCTGCCCGCCCCCTTTCCCACCCAGTTCCCCCTGCCCGCCCCCTTTCCCACCCAGTTCCCCCTGCCCGCCCCCTTTCCCACCCAGTTCCCCCTGCCCGCCCCCTTTCCCACCCAGTTCCCCCTGCCCGCCCCCTTTCCCACCCAGTTCCCCCTGCCCGCCCCCTTTCCCACCCAGTTCCCCCTGCCCGCTCCCTTTCCCACCCAGTTCCCCCTGCCCACTCCCTTTTTCAGTCAGTTCCTCCCTGCCTTTCCCTTTCGTTGATTTGTTGTTGTCATTGGTTCTCTATTTGCATGCTCAGTCAGTCATACTGCTTGTTGGGTGCTCCACACACTTGCTCAGTGTACTCACACACACTTGGTTGAGGTGCTCCCACACACTTGGTTGAGGTGCTCCCACACACAGTTGGGGTGCTCCCACACTTGCTTGACATGCTCCCGTACACTGGTTGAGGAGCTCCCACACTCTTGGTTGTGGTGCTCACTACACAGACTCGGTTGAGGTGCTCCCACACACTTGTGCCAACCAGAGCCAACCGGAGGGGACGCCTGCGTGAGTCCTCCAGCCCAAGCTCTCTCCCTCGTCCTAAGCCTCAGATCCGGGCTTGATGCATCTTCTGGCTACGCCGAATGGCCCATCTTGCTGTTGTCTTTTCGCGGAATCCCTAATCCCCCTCTGACCCCGTCTGCCCTCCAACCAGACCAGGAACTTGCTGTGGACAGATACCAAACGCCGTCATTTTTCTCTGCCCCCAGATGGCCCAAGTGTAGCTCTGCGTTGTCGAGGGCATGACGTAGATACCTGTGGCATGAGATCATCAGTTCTTCCCCTTGGAAGTTTCCCATTTCTGTGAAATAGTGTGTTGTTGTTGTTTTGGGATACACAAAGGTGTGCTCAGGGCCAATGCCCAACAGCGTGCTTGGGGGATTGTGAAGTGCCAGGGATCAAACCCAGGCCTCTTGCACACATAGCATGAAATCTAGTCCACTGAGTGCACATTCTCTCTCTCCTCCCTCTCTCTCTTTCTCTCTCTCCTCTCTTTGTCTCTGTCTCTGTCTGTCTCTCTCTCTCCTCTCTCTCTCCTCCCTCTCTCTCTCTCTCCTCTGTCTCTGTCTCTGTCTCTCTTTCTCCCTCCCTCCCTCCCTCCCTCTCAAATATCTTAACCATACCTTAACCAAAGTCTGTTCCTTTCTAGTTTTTCTTACAGGAAATGATAGGTTACAAGCAAGTGGCATGAGGAATATTGGAATCCTTTTTCGCTCTCCTGAGCTTTTTTGTGAAAGTGATAACATGAGATCGCTGATATGTTACAATATTCTGGATCTGCCCAAATATTCTACAAAGAAGAGAATGAAGGAAGCACTTCTGGTCGCCATCAACAACAACACAGGCTTTGATCCTACCATATCGTGACCATGACCTCCCTCTCGTGACTCTGGCTTCGGGATTCTTCTTTCTTCCTTAGAGACTGCGTGTAGATAGACTTGGTGTATTTTACTTAAGTTATTGATAAATGTTGGAATAAACAATAAAGTGATAAATCAAGGATAATGCGTATGGGTGTGGGGGGGGGGCGGGGTTAGGCGCGGTGCTGGGGCTCAAACTCGGGGCTTCACACATGCAAGGCAAAGGCCCTGTTGCTGAGCGCCAGCCCCAAGGATGGGATGGCACTTTTGATGAATCCACATCCCTAAACTGGATAGTAGATCATTTGCCTTTTGACAAAATTCTTCCCTGAACAAAAATCATCATCTCTTGAGTGCTGGGGGAAGAACTCAAGTGACAGAACGTGGGTCTGACACTTGCAAGGATTCTCGCCTGCACACCCCTGGAGTGCCCTGGGCGTCTTCTGAGCACTGCCGGGCAGGTGGCAGTGCGCCCCGAGTCAGCCAAACCAAGGAAAAGTGAACGGAACATGAGAGAGGAAATCTTGCCAGTCGCGACAGGCCGGGACCTGGAGCACGTTCTGCTAAGTGAGCAGGCTGGACTGAGAAAGACACACACGGTTTCACGCGCGTGGAATCGGAAGAAGACACAAACAAACCTGGATACGGAGACAGATGGTGTCAGAGAAAGGAGGAGACGGAAGGGCTGAGAGAAGCAGCCCCAGGGGATCGACTGTGAGGGGTGAAATCGGGACTTTGGTTGTCGGTGATCGTGATATCACGTACGGGGATGGGAAATGATAAAGTGGCCCCGGGAACCTCTAGAATCTCATGAACCAATGCTACCTCGACTGAAACCTACTTGAGAAAATAAAGATTTTTCTTGATCTTTCATGTTGTTTCGCTGTGAAATCTTTACTTTTTCTGTCGGATCCGAAGCTCGGGAGAGACACAGGTGGTTGAAAGCGGCCTGGCGGTTTCAGGGAGAGGCCCAGGGAGAAGGCCCTCCCTGGACACCGGGGTTCCCGCGTGGACCTTGCAAGGCTGCAGAGACCCCCAGGGGAGCGTGAGGTACCAGCCCGGCCACGGGGCGGCGGCTGAGGTGGTCGCCCACCTTCTTGGGTAGTTTCATTCCTCCCGAGGAAACGGCCCTCCAGGAAACCTGATGGGGGTCACTGACTTGCAGAGACATCTGGCCGGACCCCAACAACTCTGTGGTCTCCCACGTCTAAACTCCGGCAGCCCAGAGACGGGGCACCCCCAGGCCTCTCTCCTCCTTCCTCAGTTCACAGAAACGGGCCCGACCCTCAGGGTCAGGTGCCTGCAGGCTGGGCAGAGGCCCGGAGGAAAGTGGGGCGGGGACCCCAAGACACAGGATGACCGCGGCAGAATCGTGCTGAGAAATCGGGGAGGCAGTCAGTGGGGGGGATGCTAAAGTATGGTGGTGTTGAAACTATAAGCAGGGGCCAAGGAAATAACACAGCGGGCAGGGCGCTTGCCTGGCCTCTGGACCTGGGCTTGATCTCCGGGACCATGTAGGATCTACCGAGCACTGCCAGGAGTGAGCCCTGAGTCAGAGCCAGGAGGAAGCCCTGAGCACTGCTGGGCGAGGCACCCAAGATAAGGAACTAGAAAGAGAGAGAGAGAGAGAGAGAGAAAGAGAGAGAGAGAAATAGGGAAGGAAGGAAGGAAGGAGGAAGGAAGGAAGAAGGAAAAGGAAGGAAGGAAGGAAGGAAGGAAGGGAGGAAGGAAGGAAAGAAGGAAAGATTGGAAGGAAGGAAAGAAGGAAAGAAGGAAGGAAAGAAGGAAGGAAGGAAGGAAGGAAGGAAGACAGGAAAGAAGGAATGAAGGAAGGAAAAGGAAGGAAGGAGGAAGGAAGAAGGAAAAGGAAGGAAGGAGGGAGGGAAGGAAGGAAGAAGGAGAAGGAAGGAATGAAGGAAGGAAGGAGGAAGGAAAAGGAAGGAAGGAAGGGAGGGAGGGAGGGAGAGAGGGAGGGAAAGGGAGGGAGGAAGGAAGGAAGGAAGACAGGAAGACAGGAAAGAAGGAATGAAGGAAGGAAAAGGAAGGAAGGAAGGAAGGAAGGAAGGAAGGAGGAAGGAAGGAAGAAGGAAAAGGAAGGAAGGAAGGAGGGAGGGAGGGAGGGAAGGAAGGAAGAAGGAAAAGGAAGGAAGGAAGGAAGGAAGGAGGAAGGAGGAAGGAAAAGGAAGGAAGGAGGGAGGAAAGGAAGGAAGGAAGGAAGGAAGGAAAGAAGGAATGAAGGAAGGAAGAAAGGAAGACAGGAAAGAAGGAATGAAGGAAGGAAAAGGAAGGAAGGAAGGAAGGAAGGAAGGAAGGAAGGAAGGAGGAAGGAAGAAGGAAAAGGAAGGAAGGAGGGAGGGAAGGAAGGAAGGAAGGAAGGAAAAGGAAGGAAGGAAGGAAGGAAGGAAGGACGGGGGGGAAGGGAGGAAGGGAGAATGGAAGGGAGGGAGGAAGGAAGGGAGGGAGAAAGGAAGAGAGGAAGGGAGGGAGGGAAGGAGGGGGAGGAAGGAAGGGAGGGAGAAAGAAAGAAAGAAAGAAAGAAAGAAAGAAAGAAAGAAAGAAAGAAAGAGAAGACTGTGTTGTGGGAGGGAGGAGGGGTGAAGGCTAAGGCCAAGGGTCGTGGCTAGGGGGTAGAGCGTCTGCCTAGTCATGTGGCCCTTGGGCTGGCTCCAGCGCCAACCCACACTCCACGAGCAACGGGGCCCTGCAACTGGGATCTCCTTGATGCTACCACAAGCGCCATCTCTGGAGCACACAGCTGAGTGTGCAGGAGTGCGCGGAGTGCGCAGTGACTCCTGGTCAGCTCAACAACGAGGAAGGAAGCGGGGAGGGAAGAGAAAAACGAAATGAATGCAACCTCGTTAAAGAAAAAAAAACAAATGTGTTATTGGCCCCGGGAAAAGAAGATCTTGCAGGTTGTGGTGGGGGAGGGGGTGGTGGTCGGGTGGGCATGGCTCTCCCTGCTCTGCCCACACGGCCGCAGAGACGGACAGAGGGACCGCCGGATACACACTGCTGAAACGACCTCCTCATCAGCACTGTCGAAAGGCACGAAGGCTACGCCGAGGCTTGAACAATAAGGGGCTGAGGCTTGCAGAGGGATTGCCTCGTACGCACGCGCGAGGTCCGGGCTTCAACCCCTGGCTCTGTGGGTGGGGAAGAAGCAATAGAAGGATAGAACTGACATGTTCGATCTGCTTTTGAGGGGGTAGATGGGAAGCTTGTACACGGGTACGTCTCCAGAATTTCCACGGTAGCCAATGGAAATGGACTGAACGACTTATTTGAAAAATCAATCATTAAGAATTCATGAGCTCCCCTTTTGACCCAGCAATACCACTCCTGGGAATATATCCCAGAGAGGCAAAAAAGTATAGTCGAAGTGACATCTGCACTTGTTTGTTCATTGCAGCACTCTTTACCATAGCCAGAAACTGGAAGAAACCTGAGTGCCTGAGAACAGATGACTGGTTAAAGAAACTCTGGTACATTTACACAATGAAGTACTATGTAGCTGTTAGAAAAGAGGAAGTCATGAAATTGACATACAAGTGGTACTACATGGAAAGTACCATGCTAAGCGAAATGAGTCAGAAAGAGAGGGATAGACACAGAAAGATTGCATTCATCTGGGGAACATAAAAGAACAAAATGGGAGACTAACACCCAGGAGTGGCCGAGATTAGTACCAGGAGGTTTACTCCATGGCTTGGAGGCCAGCCACACATGCTAGGGGAAAAGGCAGCTCAGAGAGAGAAGGGAGCACCAAACAAAGGGTGTTGGGACGATCCTCCCAGGATGGGGGATGCATGCTGAAAGTAGACTATACACCAAACATGATTGCCACTCAATGTCTCTTTTGCAAACCACAGCGCCCAAAAGGAGAGAGAGAACAAAAGGGAGTGCCCTGCCACAGAGACAAGGTGGGATGGGGGATGGGGGTGGGGTGGGAGGGATACTGGGATTAGTGGGGATGGAGAATGGGCACTGGTGGTGGGATGGGTACTCGATCATTGTATAACTGAAACCCAAGCACAACAACTTGCACGTCTACAACTGTATCTCATGGTGTTTCACTAATTAAAAAAAAAAAAGAATGGACCATAAAAAAAAAAAGAATTCATGAGCTCAAGGAATACTTAATAATGTGTTCCAGTTATCATTCTAAAGGCTTCTATCATTATTTTACTTAATACGCCTAACCAGAAACTACTGTCTCATTGTAGTTGGGGAAAAATAGAAAGTATTATTTTTTTGAGCATGTATTTTCTGTCGACTGGAGGGATAGCACAGCAGGTAGGGCGTTTGCCTTGCACACGGTTGACCTGGGTTCAATTCCTCCACTCCTCTCGGAGAGCCTGGCAAGCTACTGAGAGTATCTTGCCTGCACGGCAAATCCTGGCAAGCTCCCTGTGGCATATTCGATATGCCAAACAGAGTAACAACAAGTCTCGCCATGGAGACGTTACTGGTGCCCGCTCGAGCAAATCGATGAACAAGAGGACAGTGCTATGGTGCTACAGTATTTTCTGCATGGCTATAGGGTGGATTCCAGGAGAGACAGAGCATACTTGGAAAGTCAATGGATTTTGTAGGCTAGTCATGATTATGGAGGCCACGTGATTTAGGGTGCTGGTGGGAATGCTCTAGGTGCACGATATCATACTTCGCCAGCACCCAGGGCGTATTGATCCCCCATCACTGTCCTCCAGTCCTTACCTGCCCCTGCTCCTTCCCACATAGTGGCCCTCACTAAGCTTAGTTCTTGGCCTGTCAGAGTTGAAAGGTTTGTTTTCATTCATCACTGGGTACTTTACTGACTTTATTGCCTAAGTGTGAGATCTTGTATTTGCCTCTCTCTCTCTCTCTCTCTCTCTGACTTTATTTTTTAAGTTTTGGCTTGCTGGGTCACACCCAGTGATGCTCAGGGATTACTCCTGGCTCTGCACTCAGGAATTACTCCTGGCAGTGCTTGGGGAACCATATGGGATGCCGGGGATCAAACCCGGGTTGGCTGAGAGCAAGGCAAACGCCCTACACGCTGTGGTATAGCTCTGATCCTCTCTCTGACTTTAACAAGACCTTCCACTCTGTGATAAAAGGCAGGATTTCATCTTCTATTTTCCCCTTACTTTTTGGAGGGCT